TTGTGTTGCAGGCACTAGCAGAAGAAGAACCGCTCCCAACTCTGCACCCATCGAAGGAATGCCTGCCCCCGAAACCCGAGCTGGGGCTCTTGAAGCTGCTGACGCAGGAATTGGGAAGGCTGCCACAATCACTCTGGCTACAGTCACTCAGCATGTCGCTCTCCATCTCGCCAACGAAATCCCACCATCCATCTACATTATTGATCCTCCTTTCATCAACGGTAGTTTCGCCTTCCACTCTCGCCCCCATCCCCGTTGTTTGTACCCCAAACCCGTCAGCTTCAAACCCAATATGACTGCGCCATTGCACGGATTCCGCTGCGGGATTGATGAGTAATTCAGCCCTTCTTTCCGAAAGCCCTCCTCTTCTTGCACGCATACCTGATGTTCTTTGGCCTCGCCGCCCAAGCACTTCCAGATCGCGCGCCGGCGTCCTCAAGGTAGGTCTTGCGTAAGTAGTTGCATTTCGCGGGAAATCACCATCAGACGAACTCGTAGGAAGCTGCTGCCCGAACAGTTGTTCAGCGATAGCAAGAATGTCCGTTGAGGTGGAATTTCGACGCTGTCCGGGTAAAGCCGTATCGCGTTGAGATGCGCTGAAAGATGAGGGCAGAGGCTCCCCGTTTTGAGTCATTCGCCGGCCATTACTAGCACCAGAAGCTGTTGCAAATTCGCCGTTTGTAGCAGCAGCTCGGCGCCGCGCGGCTCGAGAAGCGTCGCTTCGCGGAAGCACGTTGTCAACTGAAGCCGAAGTCGGTATTGGTAGAACCGACGATGGCCGCAGAGGTACACTCGTCGCAGAGCGACGAACGCGGCGCTGACGACGCGGCGTGATCAGATTGTTTGTGACGTCAGCATCGCCACGGGCCGAAACATCTGCGTTGGCGGAAGGCGCCGCGGGCGAAGAAGGGTCATACACTCGCACAGTAGTCATCACGGACTAGCAATGATGGTGCTGATGCTGATGGAGAGGGAGCGTCTTGCTTGTTCGTGTTAACAGGCGACGGCAAGGTGCGGGCGTAATGATGGTCAGTAAGCCGCAGTTTTGAGGACTCCGAATGTGGCAGGCGCTACGTCGACTCAGACTTCGAGTCGGATTCCGTAAAAGCGATTCGAAATGCAAGGTCTTGATGATAGCAGTATCGCAACGATCGAAATGGCGACGGTCTGAGCTGAAGTGAGGCTCCCTTTCCTCCGGGTGCCACTCTCAGGCTATAGAAAGGGTACTAGGCTGAGGGCGTCACGTGTCCCCGTGTGCTCGTGCGAATGGAGCAAAGATATTGAGATCTCGGCAGATTTTAGACAGGAGAAGGTTTAAGATTACGTTTTAAGTATGTAGGGAGGGCATATGGAGCACATACGGGAAATGTCGCAAGCAGCATCTTATCTCGACTAAGCTCTTCCTCATTGTTGTAAATACGCTGCCACGTGGCATCCATATTGCTGCAGTTTCTCGGCGCCGCTATTTCCAGCGAAAGCCGAATCACAAACAACGCGATTCGGGTGCTGCCGTTTAACCTAGAAACGTCAGTTTCTCGTAGGCCCAAGCTTTTTCGGAGATCTAGTGGTGCAAGTGGCCTCGGGGTTCACGTGGGTACATTAACTGTGGAGCAGCTAACGAGGTGCATGAGCTCTGCTCTATGCTTGTGCGCCACGTGAGCGATCATTGGAGAAGCACGCGCCACACATTGCGGTAGCAGTTCTGCTGCGTTGTCGCCGTAAGAAACGAGGATCACATGGGCCGGCGGAATTGCGGGACGCATGTGGAAAGAGCGCAACAGGGGTTCTGCTAATCATCCGCGAAAGATAACAAAAAGGAGAGGAGAAGAGGAGCAGAACGGGAAAGGCAGGCCGTAGCACGTGCTCCGTAACTTGCGGCGGGAACCCACGCCCTAAAGGTTAGGAAAGGTGGATGAGGCGGGAAAAGGTTGGAAGACTTGTGTGAAGTGGTGTGACTTGTGTGAGGAGGTTCCCTTGTTATATGAGAGAAATTCCGAAGCGGAATCCTGAAAGTGTGTGAACCCCGAATAAACTGCTTCCAGTACGCAATTAGTAAACTGCGATGCCCTAAATAATACTAACCAAATCTTGTGAGTGCTTACAGAACAATCGAGAGGAGGACCTCTACGCATGGCTGACTAAAACCATATGTTATTTCAACAGATTGTTTTACTGAGGTGTCTCCACCCTTCCACAACATTCTTACGATGCACTACCCGAAACCACTATCTTCGCGTAGTAGAAAAAAAAAATAACGGTGCGCCACCATCATGTTGTGTGTGTACAAGGGACAGGGATGCTGCTGACTCGGGAACGCCCGGGCGGCCAGAAGAGGGTTCCGTTCCAACCAATAGGCAACCGTCGTGTCCCAGCCTTTTGCGGCCCCTTCAACACAATTCGCCACGATAAGACTGAAGGATCAGCAGCTGTTGTGTGATTGGTCTTTTTTCCATACTCGTACTTCAGCAAACCAATTGGTCATCACAGTTTGAAGTAAATGGCCCAATCAAAGGACAGAAAACGTGTCTTTTAGTTCGGGCAACAGGCAGAAGTCTTTTGAATGTGCATGTACTCGCTAATGCTGGCTGTGTATACACGAACTTCAACTAAACACAAAGTTATGTGTAAGGTACTCATATTTCAGGCTCTCTTCTATTTGTGTGAGAAATCATCCCCTTCCAGGATCTGACTCTTTATATGTCAGGCATCATGCCTGACGGGGAAACCTCTCTTTAGATATGCAACTACATTGCAAACTCCACCGTTATGTCCAACTTTAACAGTACTCCATTTACAACCCCTTTTGGTACTAATAAGTTTTGATGAGATGTTGAACACTCTTAATGTGGTTCACCACTATAATATAAAGCGCTACAAATAAGCATTTACAAACATCGGCACCCAATAAATCAAACTCATGGCTGATAATGTTGCTCTTTCTGTATGATTAGCAGCAAGCACCCGCCCCCTGCTACAAGGAGCCGATTAAACGAACACGCCCTTGGCGTGAACAGAATACATACCTAAGGCCCTGGCACAAGGGAGCATGGAAGCTCAACTTAGATTGTGACAGCTCCCTCTGTCGGCGCCATAGAGTTGCATGGGAGCAGCTTTGCTCTCTCAATGCACCATGTTGCTCAGCTCGAGAATGGTACCGGTAAGACGATGTGTCATTTTGTAGACCAGAAACCCATTACAACGGATGTCGCGCCTCTTTCGTAGCAGGGTTGGATGAGTGCTCCCAGTACTCCACGCCAGCAGCAGCGATCAGCGCAGCCAACGTGAAAACCTGCGCGTGCAACCTGCGAGGAACACGGAAGTCAAAACACGGCGAAACTTGATTGGGTAACGATTCAGCTGGCACTCGGTAGTGAGATACCGATGACGGACGGCTGTCACACTGACAACCGCTTCTGTACCGCAATAAGGATCAGCGCCAGTGACTCAAAACTTCAGAGCAACCCAAACACCTGCGAAGCGCATCAGGTTCCGTGACGAACCTCGCAATAGTTGCAGCTCGCAACCCGATTTACGGTAGCGTCGACGAGCTCAATGTCTCTCAGAGATTGGCAGCATCGCGCACGGATGAGATTCGATGCTCACCTTGCGTGGATGATTTTGACGCTCATTTTCTCCCCGGGTTTCCGCATGTTGTACAGCACTGATCCGGCGATGCCGCTGGCCCACAGTCCACCAACTGTGCGTAGCTTATTCTCCACCACCCACTTTCGCGCCTCCGCGATCGAGAAGGAACTCGACGGAGCGCTCTTCGCCTCCTCTGCCATGGCGGAATTTGGCGTTTTTTGGTTTCAGAGCTTTCGATGCGGTCTTGAAGACCCGATGAACTAGCAGCAGAACTCGTTTCCTGACTCGGTAACAAATTAAATGCTGCCTCGTGGAGCAAGCGGAAATCGTTCAGCTGTCCAGTCGAACAATGATTTCGCTTGATGGAGCGATGGAAAGGAGCTTCCTCTAACTAAGATCGATGGCGAGGTGGTCGAAGGTGATAATGACGGTGTGAGCGATTGCGATCAAGATGAGCAGTAACGGCGCAGGAAGCTAGTAGAGGAAGCTCGTGCCTTGGCGGAAGGCTCTGAAATGGAGTTTGAGTAGGGAGGGGAAGATCGAGGAGGAATGCCGACTGAATCAGCTTTTATGCTTGAAGCCACCCTGGTCTGAACTTGGAAGACAGAGCGGGTGGGAGGATGGTGATGTGGGGAAGAAGGGTAATGGAGGAAGGTTTTGGAATAAATGGTAGGTGAGTGAAGCCAGGAGATAGAGAGGAATCTGATGTGGTTTGGTACAGTTTGGTGTGTTGTAGTGCGTTGAAGTGCAGCAGGGGGGTGAGGTGGAGGGGACAAGGTGGGGTGAGGAGAGTGGGCTTCCACCACGACTTTTTGGGGCGGCTCGGCTTTCCCCGAAATGGCGACGCGATGATGGAAAATGTACAGCAAGGAAAATCACAACGCTTTTGATTGGTTCCGGCTTGGTGGCAGGTCGGTTTGTGAGAGAAAGCGTGTGGTTTGGATGGTGTGCTGACGTTCTCAGAAGTTCGCTGGACTTCGCAAATGTTTAGGCGAAACCTTTGCCAAAGCCCATCGCTCAAAACAGAAACTGCTCTCGAAGTTACCGAAGTCCAGGCTGACCACCCAACCAATGAACGGGCTGCAATTGCCAGCAGGTCAACTCCAGCATGGAATTGGCCAATAACAATCGCGAGAGGCTACCAGCACACAAGACATTTCTGGCGAAATTTCGCCTCCCCTGGCTGGCAAGGTGCGTTGCGACCCAGGTACACGCATCACAAAGTACACGCATAACAGGCAGGGAACATATGAAGCATATGCTACATAAAGTGCACAGCAATAACTAACGCTCTGCCTACATACTAATTCAACATTTAAGCTACCTCAGTTGCGGCAAGCAGGCTAGCTACGCTAAACAAACATTCATGGGTTGTACTATACGATTTTTACCCAGAATGTAGCAGGTGCAACTTTCTACCACGAGAAACCATCAAAAGAGGATGCAGGAGCAGCCGCAGCTTCACCAGCAGCAGGAGCCGGAGGATGCGCACTAGCAGCTGATGCCCCGGTCGGCATCAGGGATGCAAAAGGATCCATAGATGATCCTCCTGCTGCTCCTCCAGTAGCAGGCGCTAATCCATAATTCCCACCACCGGCTGCAGCACCGGGAGCAAAACCAGAGGCAGCAGCACCACCACCTCCACCTCCGAGGAATCCGAAATCGATAGAAGCAGACATCCCCCCACCACCAGCGGCAGGAGGCACTGGATTATGACCTCCCATACCTGCTCCTCGCACTGCTCCTCCTCCTCCTCCCCCTGCTCCTCCCCTTCCTGCTCCCGCTCCCCCCCACCCGAACCCAGCCCCAAAGAGATCAGCAGACACACTCACGCCCCCTCCAGGCGCGGCACCTCCGAACCCACCAGCCGGTCCGGCCAGACCAGGTGAGGTGGTTTGGCCGGGGAGAGGCGCGCCGAATGGGTCGGAGGGTTGAGGAGGAGTGGAGGGGGAGAAGGCGGAGGGTTGTGGGGAGAGATCTGGTCCATGGGCGAATGCTGGAGAAGGGGAGCATGCAGGTAAGTGGGGTCACAGTGATGGGGAACAGAAAGAGCATGGGCAGGGTGGGGCATGGGGGCGGGAACAGGGATGGTTGGAACAGAATGGTGCAGAATGTGATGAAGCTGGGCTGGTGGTAGCGAGGGCGCGTGGTGAATTGCTGCAAGGGGGTGGGGAGCAGCGGTTGCAGAAAAAACAGTCCTTCTGACAATGGAGACATGGAGACAGGCCCCTGATGCTGCATTGAAAAGTTGTCGATAGCAACTAACAAGCTGTCTTAATAACACGCACTTACCTGCAGCGTTCTGCTGCTGAGGGGACTGAAATGGGGCAGCAGCAGTGCCGGGAGTGGTGATATACCCTCCAGGGAGCGCAGAGGCCAATGGGTCCATAGAGAATGGCTGGAGGGGTGCAAGTGGAAGAGACGGGGAAGGGAAAAGAGGCGATGACATGGAAAGGAGAAGAGGCGATGGCGTGAAAGCGAAGCACAGGCATTGGAAACAAGCAGAGTGGGCCCGTGGGTGGGTGGATGGCAAGTGAATGGAGGAAACGGGATGGGAGGGCAATAAGTCACCTGAGAACCAGCAACAGGAGCTGCAACTTCCTCCTCCTCATCGTCATCATCAAAAGCAAAGGGATTGGTCGACTTGGCTGCTGCTGCTGCTGGCGCTGCTGCTTCGGTTGAAATTGCACCGCCACCATCACCAGTAGGAGCAGCAGCGGCAGCACCAAAACCAGAGGCACCGAGACCAGCAGCAGCACCACCAGGGGCACCGGGGAAAGGAGCAGGGGCGGTCGCTGTAGTGGAGAGGAATTGATCATAGGCGGACGGCATGGCTTGTCCTGTAGCGGGTCCTCCCATCTGGTAGGCCGGCATGTCCATGGCTTGGGGTGGCAGACCCAAAGCGGACATGGGAGGCTGCAAGGAGGGTAGCGGCAGCAGAGTGTAGGGAGCGGTATAGAGTGGTGTGGTGTGGTAAGAGGCAAAAAGGGGTAGAGAGGATTAAGGAGGAGGGTGCAGATTATATGTGCAGGGAAGTTGATGTTGAACTAAGGGTGCAGAACCCATCTCCACCCCTCCAAACCTGGCCTGCCCACAAGCCCATACCCTTTCCCAACCAACCCCACCCCATCCTCCCTTTTGAGTGCCCCAGCCCAGCCCATACCTGCCCGTATGCCCCATATGCCCCGTTTCTCACACGCTTATCCCCCACAGCCTTCCCACCTTCCCCTTCACCTTGCCCCAGCCCAGTCCATACCTGCCCGTATGCCCCATATGCAGATGCTGCAGCTGCCACTGTTCCTGGAGAGCCAAAAGCGAGTGAGCTTGTATCGGTGACAGCAGGGGTGGGGGCAGGAGGGGCGGCATAGCCTCCAAGATAGGGCAGGTCGTTTTTGACTGTAGGCGCTGGGAGGAGGTTGGTGAAAAAGTCCTGAGGGGAGCGGTGGGTGGGCGGGGAGGGGAGGGGGCACGGGGGGCAGGAGGGGCGGCATAGCGGCCAAGATAGGGCAGGTCGTTTTTAACTGTAGGCGGTGGGAGGAGGTTGGTGAAAAAGTCCTGATGGGTAGGGGCAATAAGAGGAGGGGGCAAGGGGGGCAGGGGAGGAGAGGGGGCAAGGGGGGCAGGGGAGGGGAGGGGGCAAGGGGGCAGGGAAGAAGAGAGGAGGTGGGTGGGGAAAGGGGGGGCGTGGGTTGGTTAACGTGTGTGAAGAACTACCGAGGATGGGAACGTTGGTTCTGATTTCAATTGCTGGAAGGAGGTGGAGCGGAAATGTGGAGGAGCGAGTGGGAGGTTAAAGGGGCAAGGTGGAGAGGTGAGGTGGGAGAGTGGGGTTGTGGGCAGAAGGGGTATGGTGAGGGGAGAGAAGACATTACTAACGTAAAAAAGACTGGTCCTGACTTGAGGGAGGTGGTAAAAAAATTCGGAAGGAGGAGGAGAGATGAGACAGCGAATGCAAGAATTGAAGAGGGAGCAAGGGCGGAAGGAGGTGGGGGAAGGGATTGGGCGCGAGATGAGGTAGGAGGCAGGGAAGGGCAATAGGTAGGTGTATGAGAGAGTAAATAGGGAGGAGGCATGAGCGGCGAGCAGGGGTGAGTGCGTTGAGTACCCCTAGCTATGCGTTTGAGTACCTCTAGCTATGCGTTTGAGTACCTCTAGCTATGCGTTTGAGTACCTCTAGCTATGCGTTTGAGTACCTCTAGCTATGCGTTTGAGTACCTCTAGCTATGCGTTTGAGTACCTCTAGCTATGCGTTTGAGTACCTCTAGCTATGCGTTTGAGTACCTCTAGCTATGCGTTTGAGTACCTCTAGCTATGCGTTTGAGTACCTCTAGCTATGCGTTTGAGTACCTCTAGCTATGCGTTTGAGTACCTCTAGCTATGCGTTTGAGTACCTCTAGCTATGCGTTTGAGTACCTCTAGCTATGCGTTTGAGTACCTCTAGCTATGCGTTTGAGTACCTCTAGCTATGCGTTTGAGTACCTCTAGCTATGCGTTTGAGTACCTCTAGCTATGCGTTTGAGTACCTCTAGCTATGCGTTTGAGTACCTCTAGCTATGCGTTTGAGTACCTCTAGCTATGCGTTTGAGTACCTCTAGCTATGCGTTTGAGTACCTCTAGCTATGCGTTTGAGTACCTCTAGCTATGCGTTTGAGTACCTCTAGCTATGCGTTTGAGTACCTCTAGCTATGCGTTTGAGTACCTCTAGCTATGCGTTTGAGTACCTCTAGCTATGCGTTTGAGTACCTCTAGCTATGCGTTTGAGTACCTCTAGCTATGCGTTTGAGTACCTCTAGCTATGCGTTTGAGTACCTCTAGCTATGCGTTTGAGTACCTCTAGCTATGCGTTTGAGTACCTCGGGAATGGCTGCTCGTGCTGCAGGTGCCTTCTGAGCCGCTGTTGGTGCTGCTGCCGAGGCAGCTGCCCCTCCTGCTGCTCCCCCTCCTGCTGCTGCTGTTCCTGCTCCTCCTGCTGCTGATGGTCCTGAAGCAGCAGAGGCAGGAGCCTCTGTTATCCCTGGCTGCTGCTGTTGCTGCTGCTGGAGTGGTGGCTGTGCTGTCTCGTCACCAAAGGCGCTCCAAGTCTGGTTGGGCAAGGAAAATGGCATGAGAATTCTCGTTTTCATATGACTCAATCAGAATGAGAGAAAATACAGGGCTGCTGAGGAAAAAGGAAAGCAGAGGAAACGAAGAAGAAGAAAAAGAAGAAGAAAAAATAACTGAAGCACGCATACCATCTCAGCAGATGGGGCTGTTGTAGCAGCAGCAGCAGGTGATTCCTCAACGCCACCTGCTGCTCCTTGCGCAGAAGAGGCTTCAGGTGAAACGCCAGGTGAAGCATCAGCAGCAGGCGTGTTTCCTGCACTGGCAGCAGAAGGAGTAGCGTCAGTGGCTGCAGCGGGAGCAGCATCGAATGCAGCCCACGAGGCAAAGCCCCCTCCGTCTCCTGCTGCTTCTGATGCAGGAGCATCCGCTGCTGCTGCTGGCGGTGGTGCTTGTGCTTGTGTTGGCGCTGCCTCTGCCACTGTAGCACCCACAGCTACAGCAGCCTCTTCCCCAAAGAATCCGCCTGCTTGCACGGGCTGCTGTGCATGTGCCTGTTCCAACACCCCAGTAGCAGCAGCTGGTGCAGCAGCAGCAGCGGCTGCAGGCACAGCAGCACCACCAGCAGCAGCAGCAGCAGCAGCACCAGCACCAGCACCGGCATCAGCAGGCAGGAAGCCAGAGCCCCAGCCCATAGCAGCAGCACCCTGGGCTTGCTGCTGATCCGGAACCAACCCCACACCAGCGTTCTGCACCGCACCAAACTCCACACCACCAGGCTGACCGCCATACCCCTGCCCGGCAAACCCCTGCCCGTCAAACGCCTGCCCTGCAAACGACTGCCCTCCAGCTGCCCCAGGCTGCCCCCCACCAAACGCCTGGCCTCCGACTGGCAATGGCCCGAACTGCTGGGCTGGCAGCGGCTCTCCCCCAAAGGCCTGATTCCCAAACAGCTGAGGCCCACCAGGGAACTGAGCCCCGAACGGAAGCCCGGCAGCAGCACCGCCCATACCTGCAGGTTCCAAACCTCCCATACCCGCAGCGCCCATACCTGCAGGGTCCAAACCTCCCATACCCGCAGCGCCCATACCTGCAGGACCCAGACCTGAGGTTGGATCGGGGGCAGCAGGGGCAGGCGCGAGCAGATCTGCCAGCCCAAAGGGGTCTGCTGCGGGTGCTGCTGGTGCAGCAGCAGATGCGCCGGCAGTGTGTGGTGCAGGAGTGGGATCGTCAAAGGAGAAGTCTATGAGGCTGGCCGTGGCAACGGCGGCAGTGGTGGAGTGGTTGAGCTTGCTCTCGGGCGTTGGCGGGTGGGCTTCAGCTGCCTTGCGAGATGCCGCCTGGTGGTGAGGAGGGAGAGGGGTAGGGGTAGGGGCAGAGCAGGGGCAGGCATGGGGTCGTCAAAGGAGAAGTCTATGAGGCTGGCAGCAGCAACGGCGGCAGTGGTGGAGGGGTTGAGCTTGCTCTCGGGCGTTGGCGGGTGGGCGTCTGCCGCCTTGCGCGATGCCGCCTGGTGGTGAGGAGCAGGGGCACGGGCACAGGCAGGGAGAGGGGTAGGGGCAGGGCAGGGGCACGGGCACGGGCAGGGAGAGGGGTAGGGGCAGGGCAGGGGCACGGGCACGGGCAGGGAGAGGGGTAGGGGCAGGGCACGGGCACGGGCACGGGCAGGGAGAGGGGTAGGGGCAGGGCAGGGGCACGGGCACGGGCAGGGAGAGGGGAGGGGCAGGGCAGGGGCAGGGGTGGGGTCGTCAAAAGAGAAGTCTATGAGACTGGCCGTGGCAACGGCGGCACTGGAGGGGCCGGCAGTGGAGGGGTTGAGCTTGCTCTCGGGCGTTGGCGGGTGGGCACCTGCGGCCTTGCGAGATGCCGCCTGGTGGTGAGGACAGGGGCAGGGAGAGGAGTAGGCGCAAGGGCAGGGGCAGGAATATGGACTCTGAAGTGTATGCGTGACTGTGTGGGCGTGGGTGCGTGTGAGCAGAACAGGAAGGGTGAGGGAAAAGACCACTCAGGCAACTCACAGAGGAAGCAATGGACCCAGGGCTTCCAGGCGCTCCTCCCTGTGATTTGAGTAAATATTCTAAACCTCTCAAAAACTCACAGAGGAAGCAATGGAACCCGGGCTTCCGGGCGCTCCTCCCTGCTCCTCTCCCCGCCCCCCATGGCCCCCATTCACGCCATTCCCAGCCGCCCCCTCCTCCCCTTCCGCATACACCTTCAGCTCCACATCTCGCCCCAGCACCTGACTCACAGGCACACTCACAGCCTGCACGCCCTGCCCCCCTCCTCCTCCCCCCCTCTGCTTCCTCCCCCTCCCCCGCTACCCCCGCTGGTTCTAGACTGCCCGCCTGCACTGCCGCTACTACTCCCGTTTTTCCTGATGCCATGCCCATGCCTCTCCCTCTCCCTCTCCCTCTCCCTCTCCCTCTCCCTGTCTCTCTCTCTGTCGCTGCCTCTGCTGCCTCTATCACTGTTATTGGAACCAGAAGGGGACGAAGATCTTCCCCCTTGGCCGTCCCTCCGATGCTCTCCCTTCAACGAGTCTTCCCGTCTCTCCCTACTGCCCCCGCCGCTGCTGCTATGCCTGCTGCCTGCCGCTCCTCCACTCCCGCTACCGCCACCACCACCACTGCCACCGCCGCCACTGTTGCTGCTGCTGCTGCTGCCACGGGATTTAAACCCCAGAAACGAGGACAACCCGCCCTTGTGCTTCCGCTTCTCCTCCTGCGGCTGCTGCTGCTGCTGCTGCGGCTGCCTATCACTCCCATACCCCGTGCCTCTGCCCGGACCTCTGCTGGCCCCACTAGCACCACCATACCCATCAGCAGAAGCCCGCATAGCTCTCGAGTCAGAAGATAAACGGGTGTGATCGTTGTGCTGGGACGAGGGGGCGAGCTGCGGGGAGGACGCGGAGGCTGGGGGAAGGTCGGGGGACGGGGAGGGGGAAGGGGACTGCGCGCGCGCGGGTGGCGCAGCAGCAGCGTTCGGGTCTCTGCTGGCCACGTAGCGCCTCTCCACGTAGACTGAACGCACGAACTCCCTTAACCGATTTGGGTCGCTGAGGGAAGGAAAAGGGTAGCAGCGGGGAGATGTGGAAGGGTTAGATTCTAGAGGGAGGAAAAAGCAGACAAGAGCAGCAAAGAGCAGCAAGGAGGAAGAGTAAGGGGATGGGAAGGGCAATAGGCGGACTCACTTGGGATCTGGCGGCTCCACCCTGCTGGCATTTGCGAGAAAGAACTCCCGCGCTTTCTGATCACACGCACATATTTGAAGGCACGCAGGCGACACACGGAGGCACGCAGACGACACACGGAGGCACGCAGGCGACACACGGAGGCACGCAGACGACACACGGAGGCACGCAGGCGACACACGGAGGCACGCAGGCGACACACGGAGGCACGCAGGGGACACACGGAGGCACGCGGGCGACACACGGAGGCACGCAGACGACATGAGGCAGACACACACAGCACAACGAGAGGGACGGGACGAATTGGATTCGATATCGTCGATGTGTCTGGCCTGATAATGAAAATGAACTTGAGGCAATGGATTTTGCTGAAATTGGTTACTCGCCTCGCGGAGGCATCTGGTTACCACATATCCGTGTAACAGCTCGGACAGTAGACCCTCACCTGATTACCGCCTTGCTGCAGAGCCGCCACCTCCTCAGGAGTGAACTTGGCCATGGACACGGACTTGAGGCGATGCGTGTACTCGCGGCTGGAAACAGGGAACAGGGCGGGAAGGAGGAAGGGGGTAACGCAGCTTGTTTAGTGACAAGCCGGTCTGTTCTACCAGAAAAAGTGAGTCAGGACATAGAACCGCAATGTGCTTGCACGCGCGAAAATGGTGAAGGCGGGAAAGGGGAAGGAGGGAAGGGGAAGGCGGGAAGGGAAAGGATGGAACGACGCACTGCGTGGAGTGTGCTACTGTAAGCAGGTGACTTTTGCGTTGATTCCAAGATCACCCGCTCGCACGAGAGGAAAGAGTGAAGGCGGGAAAGGAGGGGTGTCTGGAGTGATGATCAATCACGAGAGGTGACAGTTAGAGAAGAAGTGGACGGGAGACTCACTGGATTCCACTGCACGCGACGCAGACGAACGTTGCGAAATTCGTGCACACATATTGAGGGCCCTGCGATAATCAGGATAACACATAGATGATCGTAGTATGATGGAGCGATGCAGCAGTAAATATCAAGATCTAAATGGTCGTGTCGCATTTGCTGGATCGAAACCTAGAACGATGTGTGTGATATGTGATTGCAAAGCCAGCAACGGATTAACGCTTAACGCGGAGAAACGCAGACTCGAAGATATTACATTCTAAACGACAGCGCATACCCCGTAGCACCCCGTAGCATCAAGAAAAGAGCTGGTGCAACTCATCGCGTCTAGCTTATCGTAATGCCAACAAGATAACCAATTTCAAACAACCTGGTACTGATAAAGCAAACGCTTTTCGCTGCAAGGAACAGATCTACACCAATTACCGGCTCGTTAAGACTCCTCAAGAGGTAGCTGGCGATGCTACTAATCTAGTGGTAAACGCATTTTTACCGGATTGTTGCAGTTTATGCACTTTTTGTTTTCGGGCAGCTTCATCAACCCGCGGATAATCTTCTCGTGCTTCTCATCGTCCTTCTTGCTCATCTTGCAGGCGGAGAGCTGGAAGTAGTCTGAAGTATCTATAACCTCGAATGCAGGGTCTTAATTACTCCAGACGGAGATTAATCTGCACTATATATTCAAGGTCTGGAAGGAGCGCTCGCGGAGAGGAGGGAAAAAGCGCATCGATTTCCTGAGCGCGGAATCGATACAAACACGGAGCTTATGACTGCAAAAGAGCAAAGGCCGTCGAAGTCACGGGCAGGACAAGGCGTGCCTCAAAAGGGAATCCGTGCCCTGTGGTGCTGACGACATGGCCGAATACTGAAGGAAACTGCGTTAGGGACTGACGGAAGTATGAACTTGGAAATGGAATGGACGGTGCGGGGTTCTGTTCTGTATTCTGCGGTTCCCAAGGTTCTCGCTCTTCTGGAGTTTCGGTGGTGCTGTTCCCGAGGTTTGGTGGGCTTTCGGCGCGAAGCGAAGGCGGGAAACCAGGTGACCATATCGAAATGGAGCACGAATTTTGTTCAGAGATGCAGAACGATGCGATTGGTGCATAGAGAGTGCCCTTAGAGGAATTCAATGACAGATCTGCCCTTACGGAGGATGCCGGAAGTCAAAACCCGACCCAAGGTTCAAGTTTCGTGACAACCGCTCCCCCTCTCGAAACCCCGATATCAAACCCGGTGTTGGAATTTGACTCCTTTTCCGCAGCAGCCCCTCGACATTGGAGACCAGCTTTTTCACCGAACACGCCCCTGACCTGACTCTCAAGCCCTCCTCGGGCCTCGGAACAGGGAACACAAGTTTCCTTCCCAGCGTGTTTCTCAATCAGAAATCCTGTGGTTCTCCGCGTTGCTCGCTTCGTGCGCAGGGATCCATCTAGCGACGGACGGTATCGAACCCTAAGTTGATACATTCGTTGTCGCCCGGGAAGCGACGGGCGGGATCGAGTGCGATGAAGGAGGGAATCCACCCCGCGCTGCAGTGGCTCAGCCTCGTCACGCCGCAGGGCCGCCTCGTGCGCGTGCTGTCCGCGCAGGTGTTCAAATCCGACCGTCCGTTCTACATCCGCGACCCGGGCAAGAAGGCGGAGACGGAGGGCCAGATCGCCAAGTTCAACAAGCGGTACAACATCCAGGCCAAGGACGCGAAAGAAGCGAAAGAGGCGACGCAGGCGAAGGAGTAGAGCTGGCGCAGCTACGCAGGTACATCGGCCTAGATTTCCGAGCGAAGATTTAGGGTCAGATTGCGAAGTTCGACGTGCGTTGTAACATCGCGACGAAGGCAGGCGAAGTAGGCTTCATTTCGCAGATTTCTAGAAACCTCAATATTACTCCTTTCAGGATTTGACTAACTCTTTTCCATTTCTCTCCCGCTTGTCTTTACGGCAACTCTTTTCCAGCCGGCAGGTGGATGGCAGCCGCCACGTCAGCATGCGGCGGAATGACGTCAGCGCGTGGCGGGCCGCCAACGAATTCACCAGCCGCAGCTGCGAGGGGGCGGATGGCGCAGGGAGAGGGGGGAAGCGGGAGGGCGGGGATGGCGCGGGGAGAGGGGGGAAGCATGACTCGGGGGAAGATTCTTACAGGGGTGATGCGTGGTGCAATGGGATTGGGATTGGTGATGAAGAGGGAGATGAAGATCGCATGGGTGGTAGGGCACTAGAGGGAGGTAGGGATGGGGAGTATTCATACGAGATCGATTGGGTTTCTGATAAGGCCAGAGAGATTAGGTTGTCAGACTCGCCGGGAGATTCAGCGAGCACAGGGAATTGTGTTAGAGACGGTGTAGAGGCAAGATGCAGTGTAGCGAGCCATGCTATAGTGAGGACGAGGGAGGGGGTTACAGCAGACAGTGCAGCAAGTAGTTCGCCAGAGACTAGGGTTAGGGTAACTGGGTTACATCATTCTCACGATCGTTCACCAACAGGGATGTATGAGCCATCTCAAGAAGGGCCGCGAGGGAGTAGGTCACAGGAGCATGCTCTTTTCCAACAGGGGGGGTACTCTGCCCTGCCCTCACAACCACCGCCACATTCCTATAACGAGACGGCCTTTGAGGCGCCTCAAGAGCCGCAGGGGGGGTACTCTGCCATGCCCTCACAACCACCGCCATATTCTCACACGGAGACGGCCGTCGAGGCGCCTCAAGAGCCACAGGAATGTGTGTGGCGGCACCAGGGAGGGTACTCTGCCCTGCCCTCCCAGTCTTATGGGGAGACGGACTTTGAGGCGCCTCAACAGCGGCGGGAGCAGGCTTCAGTGGGGTTGAGTTTTGACAATGTGGAGAGTGCTGATTGCAGTGCTCCAATGGCAGCGCGCCACGTGGCGGAGCTGTCCCCGTCCCTGCACAGGCACCCCGACGGATGGGACGCGGCGCTGATGCGAATGCTAGAGGCAGATCCCCTAGGCGTGCATGGTGGAGGGGTGGATGGGGCTTGGGTGGATGGTACACGGGTGAATGGAGCAGGGATGCTTGGGGCATTGCCCCCGGACACCACTCCTCCAGAGCTTCTCTCATGTGCATCTACCTCATGTCTCCCCCATCTCCGCTCCTTCCCCCCCACACCCGCTTCCACCCACCCATCCCATCCCGCCCCTCCCTTGACTCCTCCCCCTTTGGTTCCCGCTCCCTCCCTCGCCACCACCACTGCGCCAGCGCCAGCGCCAGCGCCAGCGCCCGCGCCAGCGCCCCTAAGCCCGCATCTGCGCTGCTGCCTCGCTGCCTCATGCCCATCCCACACGCCCTCTCACTCCGCCCCTTCTCATTCTGTTCGCTCTCGTTCTGTCCCTCCGGCTGCACCTCCCTTCCATGCGTCACACCACGCCTGTCAGTGCAGCAACATGCACCGCCCATGTCCACATCCCTGCCAGTCCCACGCCCTTCAGTCCCATACCTGTCATTCCCATACCCTTCAACCCCACACCTTGCAACCCCATTGTCAACCCCATTCCTGTCAATCCCATGCCCACCAATGCCATACCTATCAATCCCATACCTGTCTTGCCCATTCCTGTGTTGAGACATCTCAACAGTCTTATCAGGGCAACCAGCATAGTGTGAGCCCATGCCACTCACTTCCTTTTCCAGACTCTCTTCGCCCTTGCCCTAAATCCCTTTGCCCTATCCCTGAATCCTTTCGCCCTTGCCCTGGTTCCCCTCGCCCCACTCCTGAGCTGCCTCAAAGGCCTGGGTCCCCTCGTCCCACCCACAAGCCGTCCCCTGCCCATTATCCTACTCCCACTCACGCCTCCTCTTCTCGAATCTCCTCCTCGTCCTCCTCCTGTCCTCGCCCTCCCATCTCGTCAGCCCTCCCGCCCGCCTCCTCTCCTGCTGCATCCTCTGCGCCAGGCTCGCAGCAGCCTTCCTCTCGTTACAGCCACACCAGCACTGCCGCTGACAGCCATAGACATGCCAATCATCGACATGACGACTTGCATCGCTGTTGCCAGCATTGCACTCACTGCACATGCTGTCAGCACCAGCAGCACCAGCAGCGCCAGCAGCACCAGCAGCAGCAGCAGCACCAACACCACCAGCAGCAGCAGCAAGGGTTGTGTCACGTGCCCTCCTCCTCGTCCTGCTCTTTTTCACTTTCACTCCCCAGAATCACCTATCGTGCTATCACCCCAGGAGACATGGCAGATCTCAAGGCACTCCATGAAGCCACCTTCCCCATCGCGTAAGACCTCTGCACCCACTCACGGGGCATTTCAACATAATGCTCTCATCTCAGGGCATTTCGCAGTGTCTACAAATCGTTCCCATTTGCAAGAGGCTCCATTCCCTTCCCTATCCTCCCCTCCTCTCCTCCCCTGTGCCACCCCATCTCCCCCACCCCCTCCCTGCCCATCAGGTACGAGTCGAAGTTCTATTCCAACGTGGTGCATCACAGGGGCATCATCACGTGACTTCACAGCTGACTCAAGCTCGCCTCTCCCCATGCTCTGCTTTCCCTGTACTTTCCTCTCCTGCCCTCTTCCGTCCATCAGGTACGAGTCTGAGTTCTATTCCAACGTGGTGCATCACAGGGGCATCATCTCATGGGGTGCAGTGGACCCGTGCAAGCCGGACCGGCTTGTTGGCTTCATCACTGCGCGCTTGGTCCCACCTGCAGAGGCGCAGGTGTGTGCAGCATGCTCACGATGCTATGCTCACGATGCTCTGCTCACGATGCTATGCTCACAATGCTCACGATGCTCTGCTCACGATGCTATGCTCACGATGCTCTGCTCACAATGCTCTGCTCACGATGCTATGGTCACGATGTTATGGTCACGATGCTCTGGTCACGATGCTATGGTCACGATGCTATGGTCACGATTTTATGGTCACGATGCTATGGTCACGATGATCTGGTCGCGATGCTATGCTCACGATGCTCTGGTCACGATGCTATGGTCACGATGCTATGCTCACGATGCTATGCTCACGATGCTCTGCTCACGATGCTATGCTCACGATGCTATGCTCACGATGCTATGCTCACGATGCTATGCTCACGATGCTTTGCTCACGATGCTATGGTCACGATGCTATGGTCACGATGCTATGGTCACGATGCTATGGTCACGATGCTATGCTCACAATGCTATGCTCACGATGCTTTGCTCACGATGCTATGGTCACGATGCTATGGTCACGATGCTATGGTCACGATGCTATGCTCACGATGCTCTGCTCACGATGCTATGCTCACGATGCTATGCTCACGATGCTATGCTCACGATGCTATGGTCACGATGCTATGGTCACGATGCTATGGTCACGATGCTATGCTCACGATGCTATGCTCACGATGCTATGCTCACGATGCTATGGTCACGATGCTATGGTCACGATGCTATGGTCACGATGTTATGGTCACGATGCTCTGGTCACGATGCTATGGTCACGATGCTATGGTCACGATGCTCTGCTCACGATGCTATGCTCACGATGCTATGCTCACGATGCTATGCTCACGATGCTATGCTCACGATGCTATGCTCACGATGCTATGCTCACGATGCTATGCTCACGATGCTATGCTCACGATGCTATGGTCACGATGCTATGGTCACGATGCTATGGTCACGATGCTATGCTCACGATGTGCTGGTCACGATGCTATGGTCACGATGCTATGGTCACGATGCTATGGTCACGATGCTATGGTCACGATGCTCTGGTCACGATGCTCTGGTCACGATGCTATGGTCACGATGCTCTGGTCACGATGCTATGGTCACGATGCTATGGTCACGATGCTATGGTCACGATGCTATGGTCACGATGCTATGGTCACGATGCTCTGGTCACGATGCTCTGGTCACGATGCTCTGGTCACGATGCTATGGTCACGATGCTATGGTCACGATGCTATGGTCACGATGCTATGGTCACGATGCTATGGTCACGATGCTATGGTCACGATGCTATGGTCACGATGCTCTGGTCACGATGCTCTGGTCACGATGCTCTGGTCACGATGCTCTGGTCACGATGCTCTGGTCACGATGCTATGGTCACGATGCTATGGTCACGATGCTATGGTCACGATGCTATGGTCACGATGCTATGCTCACGATGCTATGCTCACGATGCTATGCTCACGATGCTATGCTCACGATGTGCTGGTCACGATGCTATGGTCACGATGCTATGGTCACGATGCTATGGTCACGATGCTATGCTCACGATGCTATGCTCACGATGCTATGCTCACGATGCTATGCTCACGATGCTATGCTCACGATGCTATGCTCACGATGCTACGGTCACGATGCTACGGTCACGATGCTATGCTCACGATGCTATGCTCACGATGCTATGCTCACGATGCTATGGTCACGATGCTATGGTCACGATGCTATGGTCACGATGCTATGGTCACGATGCTATGGTCACGATGCTATGGTCACGATGCTATGGTCACGATGCTCTGCTCACGATGCTATGCTCACGATGCTCTGGTCACGATGCTATGGTCACGATGCTCTGGTCACGATGCTATGGTCACGATGCTATGGTCACGATGCTATGGTCACGATGCTATGGTCACGATGCTATGCTCATGATGCTCTGGTCACGATGCTCACGATGCTCACGATGCTCACGATGCTCCCCCCTTCTCCCCGCCACACCCCATCGCCTACTCTCCTCTATATCCTCACACTCTTTGTACATGCCTTCACCTCCCCCGTGCTTCTCGTCTCCCCCATATTTGTTTCATTCCCCTGACCACCATCACCCTCGCAGGGGGCGGACGTGCTGCCTCTGGTTCTTCCATCGCCCCGCCACACCCCATCGCCCTCTCTCCTCTACATCCTCACGCTCGGCGTTGCAAAGCCCTACCGCAAGGCTGGCGTGGGTAAGCAAGCATAGTCTTTCACTTTCACAGTCTTGCTTCATGTGGCGTCTCAAGAATCCAATCCACGCAAGTCCCCCACGCCTCTACATCCTGCCAGCCTCTACATCCTCACGCGTTGCAAAGCCCTACCGCAAGGCTGGCGTGGGTAAGCTGGTTCCTTAGTCTCTAGAGTGGGCATCTGCTCCCCTGTGATGCAGTCGCCCCACTCTGATGGGGGTGATGCACTCGCCCCACTCTGATGGGGGTGATGCACTCGCCCCACTCTGATGGGGGTGATGCACTCGCCCCACTCTGATGGGGGTGATGCACTCGCCCCACTCTGATGGGGGTGATGCACTCGCCCCACTCTGATGGGGGTGATGCACTCGCCCCACTCTGATGGGGGTGATGCACTCGCCCCACTCTGATGGGGGTGATGCACTCGCCCCACTCTGATGGGGGTGATGCACTCGCCCCACTCTGATGGGGGTGATGCACTCGCCCCACTCTGATGGGGGTGATGCACTCGCCCCACTCTGATGGGGGTGATGCACTCGCCCCACTCTGATGGGGGTGATGCACTCGCCCCACTCTGATGGGGGTGATGCACTCGCCCCACTCTGATGGGGGTGATGCACTCGCCCCACTCTGATGGGGGTGATGCACTCGCCCCACTCTGATGGGGGTGATGCACTCGCCCCACTCTGATGGGGGTGATGCACTCGCCCCACTCTGATGGGGGTGATGCACTCGCCCCACTCTGATGGGGGTGATGCACTCGCCCCACTCTGATGGGGGTGATGCACTCGCCCCACTCTGATGGGGGTGATGCACTCGCCCCACTCTGATGGGGGTGATGCACTCGCCCCACTCTGATGGGGGTGATGCACTCGCCCCACTCTGATGGGGGTGATGCACTCGCCCCACTCTGATGGGGGTGATGCACTCGCCCCACTCTGATGGGGGTGATGCACTCGCCCCACTCTGATGGGGGTGATGCACTCGCCCCACTCTGATGGGGGTGATGCACTCGCCCCACTCTGATGGGGGTGATGCACTCGCCCCACTCTGATGGGGGTGATGCACTCGCCCCACTCTGATGGGGGTGATGCACTCGCCCCACTCTGATGGGGGTGATGCACTCGCCCCACTCTGATGGGGGTGATGCACTCGCCCCACTCTGATGGGGGTGATGCACTCGCCCCACTCTGATGGGGGTGATGCACTCGCCCCACTCTGATGGCCGTCTATCTTCAGATACCTCTTCCACACTTCATGGTGGCTTACTTTTGAGTCGACTCAAAAATAAATTCAACTCTCCCACACTTTATGGTGGCTTACTGTGCTCCTCCTATCTCCTCTTGTTGCTCCTCCTATCTCCTCGTGTTGCACCTCTTATCTCCTACCCTCCCACACTTCCTCTCTCCCCTCCTGCTACCTCAACAGCTTTTGTCACCCCCCCACTCCCCTCCGACCTTCTGCCGTTTTTCTCCCTGCCCCCACAGCATCCCATCTGGTGCATCTGCTGCTATCCCATGCCGCCTCCCTCCCCCACTGTGCGGCCGTCTACCTGCACGTGGTTGCATACAACGCACCAGCCATCCGCTTCTACCGCTCGCTGTGCTTCTGCTACCGCCGCCGCCTCTCCCGCTTCTATTATCTCGAGGGGGGCGAGTACGACGCTCTGCTCTTTGCACGTTACGTCAACGGCTGGTTACCACCCGACTCCAGGTGCGTCTCCCTGGGGTGTGCTTCTGCTACCCCCGCTGCCTCACGCGCTTCTACTACCTCGAAGGGGGCGAGTATGCCGCACTACTCTTTGCGCGTTACATCAACGGCTGGTTACCGCCTGACTCCAGGTGCGGCTCTCTGGATTGTGTTGGCTGGTTGCGGTGATTGTTTGTGGGGGCGTGGTGCTGTTGTCCCCGTTTTTTGTTATGATGCTCGTTTGGAAAGATGCATGATTTGTGCTTATATGCGCTTGCGCACCCGTTTTCCACGTGCACGCAAACACACCCACCTGCCCGCCTGCAACACGTTTTCTCCCACTCGCAGGCACGCATTCGTAACACCTGATGGTTCCTCGCACATTTTTCTCCCGTGCCATGGATGGTTAATAAATCTGCCTGGTTCTCCACTTCTCGTTTCACTTCTTTGCCTTCCCACTCCGTTACTCCGTTTTCAACTCTCAGGTCCAATTTGCAAGGGCCGACTCTCCAGCTACTGCAGCCCGCACTCACATCAGCTTCTACTGCAGTGTCTGCTGCCATGTCCCTAGTGTGCGTTCGCCCACCCGCGTCTCTTCTCCGGGCTTTTATGCATTCTGCATGGGTTTGCAAGTGTTTGGAGCTTTTCAGATCAACTTTCTTTGCTAGAGACGCATCTAGGCTTGCTTAGAATGGATTGTAGATTGAACCAACTGAATGTTCAAATTTCACAGTTTTTATTCATGACTTTCGCGTATTTAGTACAGTAAAGCGGGGACGCTTCGTATGCGGATTCATTGTGGTCCATGTGGTTTAGTCAAAGTCAAGGTTTATGCCAGCAGGACGACGCACGGCCAATCGGGATTGCGGCCGCCAAAATGCATGCTGCTGTGTGAATGGTCTGGCTCCTCCCGAACCAGCCACGCTGGCCCGATCTGTTCGAGTCAACGATCTGTGGAGGAGTCCCCGCGGGCAACCCTGCACTGCTGACAAGGCAAGGCTCCTGCCAGCAAGGCCGACATTCACGAGCAGCGGCGACGCGATTCGTCGTGGATCTTCGGAAAGACACATCGCAAATTTTTGCGCAACCAAGATTGCCCTTCATCCTCTGCCACTCCAAGTGGCCCACGCCGAGCATAAAAGGTGTCGCCATTTCTTCATTTTCTCATCCTCAACTTCCATCTTACCCGCAATCACCCTCTTCCTTTCTTTCCAGAGTCTCATTTCCTTACTACTACTTCAGGATTTCGGTGTGCAACAAGGAATTTAGTGCACGCGTTCCTGCCCCTAGACAACCGCGATGGCCAACCGTTCATTTTCCCTGCAGATTTCCATCCCCGCCGTGCTGGCTCTGCTGCTTGTGGCGATGCTCGCCCAGCTGCCCACAGCCACGCGCGCCATGCCCGTGAGTGACTTAATATCCGCCCTGAAGTCAAAGGACGTTCAGGCCGACCTCATGCAGCGTCTGTTCGCGCTGGACGGCACCAAAGACATCTCGGGAGTGACCATTCTCGTCCCGCGGTCTGACGAAATTCCCGAGGCGGCGACCTACGCGAGGCATGACAACGCCACGCGCAAGTACAACCAGGCCATCGCAGACGCGCTCACGATCTTGAACGAAGCCGACAGCTCAGCAGAGCGCTGGACTGCTGTTTCACAAAACTTCTCCTCTGCTGCCAAGGGAGCGTTGTCGGAAATCTGGAAGTTTCAGATTGTGAAGCAATACATCCCACCGTCCATTGCGACGCAAAAGGTGAGATTTTGAAATTGAAGTGAACGATTAGCATTCTTGGACCGCAGTGGACTGCACTGGACCGAAATTGTACCGTCGCTGCATTTTTAACGCATCCGGAATTTCCAGGATGTAAAAAACTACATTCCTCTCAGCGATGCAAAGGTTTTGTTTCGCCGTTGCAGAATCATAACTTCCTACAATCCGTCCTCCTGTCTCCATCCTCACCCTCTATCCCCCTCTATCATCCCCCTCTATTCTACTACTGACAGTACTCATCCGGTGGCCCATGGGAGCTTCCCACAATGGAGGGACAGACTCTCTGGATGGCGTTCTCTCCCTACGGCGCAGGGGCATGGAACATATCAGGCTCGTCTCCCCAGCAGCACGCCAGCTCCTCGCTGCCTAAAATCAACGGCTACGTGCAAACCGATGGAACTCCGTTTGCATACACGGTGGAGGATTCTGGAGACATGGTTTATGATTTTCCGGACAGCCAGGTCGTGGTGTATAAGAGCCACGCGCTGCTTTTCCCTTATAACATGGAGGCTCTTAGCGCGTATGCAGGTACGCACATGCGGAGACGCACGCACATCACACAGCAACACCCACCCACACATGCGTGCGCACGCATGCACGCAGTCGCACACGCACTCACGCGCACGCGCACGCGCACGCATGCATGGTGTCTTTGAGTGGTTCAGCCAAGCCAAACTTGGTTCTCACATGTCACACCGCTTGATCATTCCACTCGATGCCCTCGTCTCTCACTCTTTGATTCTGCCATTCCTCTGCAGGAGCCAATGCGTCTATCTTCCGCCTGCTTGCCTCAATTGGCCTCGCGCTGACTGCTCTCCTCCTGCTGTAACCGCAATCCTGTCGTTCGTTGACAAACTGGGGGGACTCGGTCAGAGCCCAGCCTTCTACCATTATCATGCCTCATGTTAAACATGTGTGTGGCTACGGTATGGTACTTCGCATTGGGTTTCTTGGGTAGGGAGATGTGAGAATCAATGCCATGGAGTAGACGATGCATTGCATTGTCGGTAGGTAGATACATGACTAGTACCGGTACTGTATGTTGCCCTTTCTACTAATCAATCCTTTTCTCTTCTCATATGCTGTATATGGTAGCCTGGTAGCCTGATTTTCCCTTTCCACTATGCTTCTGAAGTTGTGAACAAATGTGCACATGGAAGTAACCGCAACAGTACAGGATGCTGCTACCAGTGGTTCTGCCATTGACTCACTGTGAAGCAGGACAATGAAAAACCATTGCCAAAATTGAATGGCATGCTCTCCAAATGCGCAACCAACTACACCACCATACCGCCACCAACAACAGTCCATTCTCCCTTACCCCCCACATCTCTCAGCCTGCTGTGTGAACCAAACCAAACCTTGAGGTCCGGTACCAGGCCTAGGAGGGCCATTTTGCCCTGGACCTGCTGGCCCAGGCCCGGGGTACTGTTGAGAAGGATAGGGTTGGGGAGGAGGTTTGGGATACTAATGCTGCTGTGGTGCACCTGAAGGGAAACCTGGGTACTGTTGCTGAGCACCTGGTGGGGCACCTGAATACTGTTGTGGGCCACCTGGGTACTGTTGTGGGGCAGCTGATGGGCCACCTGGGTACTGTTGTGGGGGACCCTGTTGTGGGGGACCCTGCTGTGGTGGATACTGAGAGGGGGGAGGGCATGTATGGCTGTTGCTGATATTGCTGCTGTTGCTGCGGCTGCTGATGATAGTACTGTTGCTGCTGGTAACCCATGGGAGGAGGAGGGTAAGATCCCGGGTACCCCCCCGGCTGCTGCTGATAGGCCCCTGGGTGAAGGGGAGGGCCACCTGGGGAGGCATACCTGGGGCAGGCTGGTAGGGTGGGGGGCAGGATAAGGAGCGTGGCCAGGGGGAGGGTAGGCATGAGGCGGGTATTGAAACCGTGGAGCAGCAGATGCAGCAGCAGATGTATCACCACTGCCAGCAGCACCCCCACCCCCTCCCCCCCCCCTCCCCCTCCCCCTTCCCCTCCACCTCCCCCTCCCCCTCCTCCTCCTTCCCCCTCCCTGCCGCGAGTGCGTGCCCCCATCCTCTCAGGGCTCATAGAAGGATACATCGAAGCAGACGTCGCCGGACCTACCGCCGAACCTACCGCAGCCCGAGGCAGCAACCCGAAGCTGCCCCCAGCCGGACCCTCTCCCGAACCACTCCCCCAAACCCCACCACCCGAACCTCCTCCCTCTCCCCCCTCTCCCCCTTGCGCCCCCTCACCTCCCGCTCCCCCATCCCCCCCACCCGCTCCCCCCGCTCCCTTCTCCCCCCCTTCCAGCAACCGCTTCCCTCCCCCATCCCCCCCTCCTCCTTCCAAAGCCTCTGCTTTGGGTCGCCCCCAGTCTAGCTTGAGCCGAATCCCTTTCACTATGAGCTTGTTGGCCAGCCCCTCTGCGGCCTTCTCTGCATCCTTGCGCGTGGTGAAGGTGATGAAGGCACAGCTGCGCGGGGTGATGAGACGGATCGACTCTATCTCACCAAATGTATAAAACTTGTCTCTGCCATGCACACGCACAAGGGGAAGGGGGAGGGAGTGGTGGGGGAAGGGGGAGGGAGTGGGGGGGAAGGGGGAGGGAGTGGGGGGGAGTGGGGAGGGGGAATATTGGTGAATAGGTGGAAAGGGGACGGAGGTTGTAAGAGGTTAGGCAAAAGGAGGGGGTTGCGGTTAGAGGAGGGCTGGTAGCAAAGCCCCTCTTTATGATGAGCGTGCTGGCCAGCCCCTCAGCCGCCTTCTCAGCCTCCTCATGGATGGGGAAGGTGAGAAGTTGATCAAGGTGATCAAGGCACAGCAGCACATCACAGCACTTACTTGAGGTCAGCCTCTGTGACACTGAGGCTGGAGACCCTGGGACTGGAGGTGCCGGTTCTGGGGGTGCTGCTGCTGGTGGAGCTGGTCCTGGAGGAGCTGGCGCTGGGGGTTCTGGAGCTGCTGGAGGTGCTGGAGCTGCTAGAGGTACTGGAGCTGCTGGTGCTGGTGGCACTGCACAGCCGCGCCTGTTCTTCGCTCCGCCGTCTCCGTCGTCTCAGCCACCGCCTGACTCTGTGCTTCGCCAGGTTCTTAGCCTCCCGTCTTCTACTGGTCTTCCGTTACAGCCTGGCTCACCACTGCCTGCTCCTTCTCCTTACACTGAGCAGACAGGGGGTCTTGCTGAGCGTCGTGAGCCTGCGTCGCGTCCTGTCTCGCCTGTCCGCTCCGGTCGTTCCGGTCGTCGTGTTCCTCGCTCGCGTCAGCCGGCTGTCCCCGGCACACACCTCGTAGTCCGTCGTCCTTCCTCTGCTCCGCAGCCTGTTCCTTTGCCGTCTCCCCCTGCGTCCTCTCTGCTTGACGTTCCGGACCCTGAGTCTGACTGGTTTCGTGCTGAGCACCCTACTGTCACGCGTCTGTTAGCCACTGTTGTCACTGACCCGTCGTTTGAGTCTGCTGCTGCGTCTGCCTTGGTCGCTGAGCTTGTCGACTTTGCTGCTGCCTGTCGTCTAGACTACGCTGCTAGTCTCGTTGCTGAGTCTGAGTCTGTCTGTCCTCCGTCCGTTGGGGGTGAGTGTGCTCTTGGCACGGACGTCCTTGAGAACAGGCAGGAGGACCTTGAGTGTCTTGCGGCCGCTGCGCCTCATCTCGTGGCCATGCTGCTTGCCCCTTAGGGAGACCCGGATGCACCAGACATCCCTACCCCGCGATCTTACGCTGAGGCGATCGCGGGCCCCTACTCCTCTCAGTGGCAGACAGTCATGGACGCAGAGATGGCATCCTTGAAGTCCACAGGCACTTACGTCGACGAGGTTCCCCCTCCAGGGGCGAACATCATCGATGGCATGTGGATTTTCAGGGTGAAGCGGCCGCCGGGTTCTCCGCCTGTCTTCAAGGCTCATTACGTTGCTCGAGGCTTCAGTCAGCGAGAGGGGGTTGACTTCTTCCAGACCTTCTCCCCCACCCCGAAGATGACTACTCTTCGGGTGCTGCTGCACGTTGCCGCTCAGCGTGACTACGAGCTTCACTCTCTGGACTTCAGCACAGCTTTCTTACAGGGCAGCCTGCACGAGGAGATATGGCTGCGCCGCCCACCTGGCTTCACTGGGTCGTTCCCTCGTGGTACCCAGTGGAGCCTCCGGCGGCCAGTCTACGGTCTCCGCCAGGCGCCTCGTGAGTGGCACGACACACCCTCTTGGGTTTGCGCCTTCGACAGCTGACCCGTCGTTGTTTCTGCGCACCGACACTTCACTGCCACCGTTCTACATCCTCGTGTACGTCGACGACTTGGTCTTTGCTACTGCTGACACTGAGGCTCTCGCCCTGGTGAAGTCCGAGCTGCAGAAGAGACACAGGTGCACAGACCTGGGTGAGAAGCGCAGTTACCTTGGCTTGCAGATCACCCGGGACCGAGCACGCCGCACCATCACACTGAATCAGTCACACATGGTGCAGCAGGTCCTTCAGCGCTTCGGCTTCACCTGGTCCTCGCCACAGTCCACTCCTCTGGCTACAGGTCACTCGCTCTCAGCTCCACCTTCGGACGAGTTCGTAGAGCCGAGTGGTCCTTACCCAGAGCTAGTGGGCTGCCTCATGTACCTGATGACCTGCACTCGTCTTGACCTTGCGTACCCTCTTGGCCTTCTGGCCCGCTACGTGGCTCCTGGTCGGCACCGAAAGGTGCAACATGGATGCTGCAAAGAGGGTATTGCGTTACTTGTGTAGTACATCGGGCATGGGGCTCGTGCTTGGAGGGCGGAGTGAGGTGGTCCTCACTGGGCACTCAGACGCCTCTTGGGTTGACGACCTGGCTACACAGCGGTCGTCGCAGGGTTACACTTTCAGCCTTGGCTCCGGTTCTGTTTCTTGGCGTTCTACTCGCTCATCTTCTGTTCTCCAGTTCTGAGATCTACGCCACAGCCATGGCTGCTCAGGAGTTACGCTGGCTCACCTACCTGCTAACCGACTTGGGAGAGAGGCCTCGTTCTCCTCCAGTTCTGTACGTCGACAAAAAGGCTGCCATTGCCTTGTGTGAGGAGCACAAACTGGAGCACAGAACGAAGCACATCGCTCTTCGTTACTTCCTGGCTCGAGAGTTGCAGCAACGAAGTCAGCTTCGTCTTGCTCACGTGGCCACTCAGGCCAACACTGCTGATATATTCACCAAGGCACTTCCGTCTGGTGACCATCAGCGCTTTTGTACTTTGTTGGGCCTTGTGCCTACGTTTCCACACTTGTTGTAGACTCTGCTTGTACTGTGATCTATATATATATATACCTGCATGCTTGCTCTTGCTAGGTAGAGATCACTGTTGTGTTTTTTGTTGCATATATACCTCTGCATGTGGACTGGCCTTGTGGCCCTTTGCTTGTGCTCAGAGTGTGTGGTGACGTTATGATCCACCCTGAGCTTGCTTTGCTTTTCTTGACTGGTCTTGTGACCTCTTGCTCTCCCCCACTTTGCTTATGGGGGTGTGTCAAACATATATATATATGTTGTAGTTATTGGTAGGCTGTAGTGGGGTAGATACTGTGGGGTATAACCCCTTAGGGCTTTCTTCTTGTACCAATTCTCTCGATAGTCGTTCCATCCCATGCCTAGCTTCTAAGACGAACAGCGTTCGTCAAGCAGAGCTCCTCGACCCAAACTCTTCGACCAGGATCGTCGACCAGGGCCCTTCGACGGGGGCTCGTCGCGCAGAGCTCGTCGACCAGATTCTGTCGAGCAGAGCCTGCTCGACCGCAACTTCCGTCGAACTGCAGAAGCCCATTTCGTCGACCAATCCGTCGCGAACTTCTCGTCGACGGCGAGATCGGCTGCGCCCAAGCGAGGGCGGGGCCAGTTCCTTCGACAACAA